TCAAACTGTCTCATCTCCAAGAAACACAGATGGCTCCATAAAAACCACCACAGACCAGGAAGCAAAGGATGGAGGTCTGTCAAGTCGGTGGAAGCCGAAACAAATGGGCATAGCTCTTCATGTGTCTGATAAGGTGGACTTCAAAGCAGTTAGAAAAGATAGAACAAGTGTGTGTGCTAATAAAGGAAACAAATCATGGAGAAGATGTAACAAATGTGTGTGTGTGTGTGTGTGTACATTGAGGCTCCTAATTTCATAAAGAGTAATGGGCATAAAAGGTCAGGCAAGTTCTGATACCATAATCTGTATCACTTTAATTGCCTATCCTCATTAGTATATAGGCCATCTAAACTAAAAACAGAGTAAACTCATAGCATAGATCAGACAGACTTACTGGATACTTACAGAACAGTCCATGCAAGAGACATGGGTGCACATTACCCACAACAGCCTATAGACTCTCCTTAAGTGCACATAACAGTCCTGTGTCACAGAGCAACCCTCACCAATACCAAAAAACTTAAAGAATTGTTTTGTATCTCATCAGATCACAGCAGAATAGCAAAAGGTTTATAAACTGCTTATTACTGGGAGACTGAACAGTGCACCCTTGAATGACCAGCTGCCCACTTAAAAAAAAAAACAGAGAGGAAATATAAAAACCCCTACAATCAAATGAAAGTAGAACTTACTGGAACTTTTGGAACACAGCTGAGAAAGTCATAAGAAGAAAGTTTATACAAGTGCTTACGTTTAAAAATAAAGCCAGATAGATCTCAAATACAAAACTTAATAATATACAAATCAAAGGCATAGAAACACAAGAGCAAGCCAATCCCAACGCAGTAGACAGGAAGAGGAAAGACCAGGGCAGAAATTAGTGCAGTGGAGATTAAGTAAATGTATAAAATCTCTGAAAAAAAAAAAGGAAGGTGGATAGAAGCCTAGCTAAATTAACCATAAGAAAGAGAAACACAGTTAATAAAACCAGAGGTAAAAATAGGAAATGAGATTCCAGTGGGATCAAGAGGGTGATGAGGGAATACTTCATGCTTCAGAAAACTAGAAAATCCGAAGAAATGGGTGCATTCTTAGACACAGCAGACCAATAAGCTATTCGATGAAGTCATTTAAAATGGACTTTTAAAGTGTCCAACAGTGAGCCCAAGACTGAATACTGCTGAGTTCTACCACACTTTTAAAGAGCTAGTGTCTATGACCCTCCAGCTGTTCCTGGAAAGGAACACTGACAAAGTCACTCTGTTGTAATACCAACCCTAATGAGGTAAGGACATAGCAGAGAAAACTGGGGGCCACATTCTCTTGAGGAATATTGACACAAAAATCCTCATCAGAACTTTCCACAGTAGGGCTGGAAAGATGGCTCAGTGGTGAGGCACTTGCCATGCAGGATCTGGGAATAGCAGGATATGGTCTGTAGGAAAGGGAAGGGTCTGTAGGGAGGGAAGGAGGTAGGTAAAATAACAAGATGTCTGAACAAGCCATAGGAACCATACTATTACCTATTCATTCAAAAAACAAACAAACAAACAAACAAACAAAAAACACAAGAAAACCAAAATCCCAAAAACTATTATATATGCCATTCTGTGTATAAATACACATACATAGTTTAAACAAACTTTTTTCATCTGGGTTGATGGTGCTACCTCCAAGAGAGAAAGGCCACCTAACACCCGAGCCCCAGGCAGGAGAATCCCTCTTTTGGGGTTGGCCAGGGCTGTCCAAGAGATTCCGGGAACATACAGCCTATGACTGTTGGACTTGGTTCCCCCAGAGGTTGGAAGGTAAGTCTCTGGAACTGACTGGAGTGCCGCATCCCTGAGTACCCTTCCTTCAAGTCTTATACTTAGGGTGAGGTGTTCTCTCTTTCCCTTCTCTTAAATGAGACCTGCTCTACCCGTGCACAAAAATAAATTGACAAAATGAATACAGTGTCGCAGTCTTTTCTAAAGAGAGGTTGGAGTGATGGGTCAGTGGTTAAGAACCCTTATGGCTCTTTTTCTCAGCATCTGTGTCAGACAGCTCACAGCCACCTGCAACTCCAGCTCCCGGGGGTGTGGACTTGCAGGCCTCCCAGTCAGCACAACACAGAGTTGCTTCCATGTGGATGCTGCTGACCCACTGTCCACAGTAGCCTGGATATGGAAATCCTCAACAGATAAATGTGTCAGGAAGGAGAGGTACAAATTCTCTGAGATCACTGCATTAAGTGAGATCAGCCAGACTCAGAATAACGTGGAGTCTAGCTTTAAATTCATGTATGCAAGAGTGTGCATGTGTGGAGATGTGTGGATCTCTGTATGTGCGTGTACACATAGACCATGAATGAGGAGGAGGGGGTGTAAGGGAGTGAGATGGTGGAGCAGGAGGAGGAGCCTGTGCCCTGGGAGGAGGAGCAGGGAGTGTTTTGGTCTAAAGGAAGGGGGAGGGTTGGAGGAGGGTGGAGGAGAAGACAAGTAAGAATAAAATGTAATATATATGCATAAGCAGGCACATGTCACAGTGAAGCCCATTAATCTGGAGGCTAATAAAATATTTTACTTTAAGATAACTAGGTAGAGCATGTTCCTCGGGGCCTAGGTTTGTAGAGCCTGTCATTTTGAAAAGAGGGTAGATTCTTGTGTAACATTTCCAGTTCTCAGCACCTGCTGAGAATATCTCTCAAGCTCAGAGCCAGACATGGATGGGTCTGGATGGTGGCAACTCCCACCCAGGGCCTGGCTTTTGGTCATTCTGCAGTGCGTTCTTCTCCAGGTCTCAGGCAGACAGGGCAGGACTAGCATCAGTGGCTGGCTTACGGCTCTTCATTTACCTCTGCCTAGCTTCATAACTCAGCCCAGCTTCCTAATCCATTCGGAAATCTGCAAAGAGTTATGTCTTTAAAACTGAACCAAGCATTTCAGTTGTCTTTTTTGATTCTACACTGATTTTTAGTCCAAGCCTGAAGTTCAAAGTCTGATGAGAAAAATCATGACTGTACATATTTTACTGAACAGTAGAGGGGACACACAGTGGGATAAACTCAATTTGAACACTTCAAGGAAAAACCTGGGAAGCTAGCAAAAAGCCATTTGGATCTCATGTTGACATTTTGGTTCCTTGAGTACAGAAATGGCATAAAAGGGTTATTGAAAAAAGAAGTGTCCTAGCGATGCCGGATGGGGTGAGGGTGTGGCTCAGAGGTGGAGTGCTTGCCTAGAACACACAGGCAACACATGCACATATGCATACCCCACACAGTACACTTGCACACTCACACAGACACACCTGCACACACATACACATACATGCACATACACAGACATGCACACATAAATGCTACACTTAGAATTGATTCATGGTTTTTGTTGTTGTTTTTTAATGTGTATAAAAAATAAAACCAGCCACATAATATAGGGGAGTGGCTGAAAGCAAGGAATGTAGTTAATATTTTATAAGCAGATGAAATCAGCTGCCATTTCTGTTGTAAAAAAGGACAAGACTTGCACCTAGAATAAGATGGGTGAACTAGACTAAATTGTATCAAAATCTTTTGCAATATAAAATAACAACTGGAACTAACAGAAGTCATGTGTGCTGGTTAATTCGGATTGTCAGTTTTGATTGATTGACAAGCACCCAAGCACGCATTAGACACACCTGGGGTGTATCTGTAATGGCGGTCATGGAGGGGTTTGGTGGTGGTCATGGAGGGGTTTGGTGGAGGGGACCTACTGTGACTGTGAGCAGCAGCTCCCTTCCACTGGAGTTCTGGACTGAGGGAAAAGGGGGACGGAGGACATATGCAGGCGCTGGCGCTCTGCTTTTTATTTATTTTCTAGGGTCTGTTCCCCTTGTCACCTTCACCAGGCCTGTGCAGTATGTGCTTTACATGCCGAGCCATCTTGGTGGCCCTGAGAATTGTTCCTAACTCGGTTATATTTTTATTAACTTGTTGGTTGGCTCAGTATCTTAATCATATGTTTGCTGGGCACATACTCTACACAAGATGCTTTTATATTTTGTTGCCATGGCCCATAACAGACCATGTGGTAGAGGAGCAGTCCGGGTAGAGTTACGTACAATGTATATAAATCATTCCTTCATTTCCATATCCAAGTGGTCTTTGGATTCTTACACTGTGCATCCAACACATGCAGCTGAGGGCCTTGGATTTTCATGAAGGTTGCTAGTGACGCTTATGGCGGACATTTGGACTCAGGGAACACAGCTGAAGAGTTTAAGTGGCCTTCCTGGCACTGCATCGTACATAGCCTGGGCTACCAGTATTTGACTCTGAACCCAGCCTTAGGGATTCTAGCATAATTTACAAGTGACAGTCCATGCACTCGAATCATTGTTAGTTTTTTGTATGGTGCCTGCCGCCAGCACACTCATGGCATGGTCAAATAACAATGAGTACAAGGACCCCAGAGGATTTTCTTGTAGGGTGCAGCATGAGAGGAGGGGGTTGTTAGACAACTTGGCCTTAAAGTGGAGGTCTGTGGGAGACCAATCTTCAGCGAGTAGCAGCCAGCCTTTAGTACTTGCTGGGATGTCTGCCCTAAGAAACAAACCCGAGTTTCTGTATGGTAGATGTGCTGTCCGTGCCACCTTTTTAAATGGGCCATGTTTTTGTCTACCACTCTAAAGCCTGAGCATCCTCCCTTCCCAGACTTCCTTCAGGCTCCTCCCCCTCCTCACAAGGACCTTACTGGGACGCCCACTCCCACATCCAGACTGACCACCTGACTCGGCGTGCTCATGGCTTATCCCCACTCATAGTTAGCAACCACCTCTTTCTTTCTGTAGCTAACATAAATGAAAACTTTAACTGTCAGTGAGTGACTGCTGTTTGCTTATTGTTGTTATAGAAAATGAAGATCTTCTTAAAGAACTGTTAGGGAAACTTTGCTAACTCTGGAAATCCAGTAGTGAAAGCACACCGAACTTTAAAATCGTGTCGTTAGGTGCTGACTTTACAATCTTGTCTGCAGATGGAAGAACTGGTGGGTTCGTGGGATCCTCACCCTTGCCATGATCTCCCTCTTTTTCCTGATCATCTACATGGGCTCCTTCATGCTGATGCTTCTGGTAAGTGACTGGTGTCTTCCTGGGGCCTCTGGGTTTCAGTGTGTATGTGTCATGGAAGGCATCTGAGCATGTCATCATAAAAAAGGTAACCCAAGACCTGGCAACAGCAAATTCAGTTCCTTTAAGCATTTTCTAGTTCATGAAATGATCTAGACTCATCTTTACTGTTTGCAAAATAGTTCCTCATTCAGCAGAGACCAGGTGTACTTTTATTCGTAGGTATCTATGTATCCAGTATCATGCAGAGCATTGAACATACAACTTCCATGTATTTACATATGACCAGATCCCTGACTTCAAGCAACTTAGCATAGCAGCAGAAACTTTCAGTTAGCCAGATGACTCTCTAGTATTAGATAAAGTGTCTGTGTCAGACGATGTGTTAGGCAGAAGGATAGAGAGGCATGTTATCCATGTTATACAAGAGGTACGCAGAGAGATGATGCTCAAGCTTGGAGGTTACACAGAGAAAGCAGAGTGGATTTCAAGGTGGATCCCCAGTGGTAAGGCAGGGGTTCATGAGAGAGGCGGTCCCTCCTGCACTGGATCTGAGTGGACCTGTGGATGGCTGCTAGGGATGAGACTGGAGAGCTGAGTAGAAGTCTTTCTCTGGGATTTAGATGTGCATGGGAAGCCAAACAAGTCATGAAGACAAGCAGATAACTTAAGCTCTTACTTCATCGTTTGATAGATGCCTTCGAGGTGACTGGTGTGTGCCAGGCATTACAGTAGCACTGGGCATGCTAATGGTGGCCTTGAGAAACTCACCCCAGTCTTTGCTTTGATGGAGCTTACTGTTTACACTGTAAAGAATGGATTAGCTGCTTCTAATCACAAACCACAATGTTTCAAATAAAGACGGTTCTCTGAGAGCCAGAACAGAGTTGGAGGACTTTCTGGAAGCATTGTGCAACACGGGAGCTTCCTTCTAAAGGAGTCAAGGAGAAGAAGAGAAGAGATGTGTGGAGAGGCGTTCCCCACAGAGAATGTGTACCCCAGTAGTGGGAGCCAGGAGGAGCGCGTTAGTTCAACAGATTTATCAGGGTTTCCCAAGTATCCAAGCATGGCTTAGCAATGAATAGTAACAAGCATTCTTGGGGTGTGTACACAATGTCCCTCATTATTATGAGCATGACCTGAGATGGTGACAAGGCTCTCTGGGTAAAACTGTACTCCCTCTCCTGGCCAGTCCCCACTGCTACCACTGTGGCACCAGCTCTCCCTGTGCACACTAGTGCAGTGGGCAGCTGTGCCAGGCTCTCCCCGTGCCCTCGCTGCTTGCCTCATCTCAGTCATTCAGCCCCTCCCTGTATGGACCTCCCTTCTTGTGCCTCCTAGGACATTCGAATGCATTTACCCATCTTCCTGTCTTTACCCCCAGTACTCTGTCCTCTCCACAGCTGTGATGGTTATCAGCAATATAATATGTCTTTTCTTTTATTAAAAAACAAATTTGAAAGTAAAACTAGTCACAATAAAAAAAATTCATCAGCTAAGGACCAGATGACTCTTCAGGACACAATTCAGACCAGATTTAGAGACATTCGTCCAGATTTGGATCCTGACTGCTGTAAAAGCAGGTCTCACTGTATTGTCTAAGCTGGCCTTGACCTTGCTCTGTAGGCCAGGCCAGCCTCAAACTTGCAGTCCTCCTGCTTCAGCCTCTGTCTGAAATGCTGACATTACAATGCCACCATGCTCAGTTGGGTCCTGACTTTTAAAAGAGGACCATAAATCTGCCTTAAGTGCTTAGAATTTCTTTACTTTTTCTGCTATGAAAGGAAAATAAAGGTTGTTTCTCTACAAGTTCCTTCTGTTGCTCGGTGAGGTAAGTCAGTGGAAGGAGGTAGGAACGTTAAAGGTTTGCTTAAGGAGTCTGTGAGCTACTGTTGTGTAACTTCATCGGATGTGCATGCGAATGATATTTTTGTATATTCATACTGAGAGGATATAGATGCCTAGACAGTTGGCGCTCAAGTGTATCATGGTGTGTACTTGAGGTCTTGTTTCTGTCCCTCTTCCAGGACCTCCCATGTCTGTTTTGAGTGGTATATGTTATTCCTGCCAAGCCTTAACTTGTCCTGTCAGACTTTACAGTGATCAGTTCAGGAGAGTTTCATAGAAAACTCATGTCTAAACAAGCATGGTGAACTAACACTCCTGTTGTTCCAGCAGAGGAGGGGGCGGGGGTGTCAAAGTGTGGAGCTAGTCTGAGATATCAACGAGTTCTAGGCCAGTCTGCAGCTGCTAGCAAGACTTCATCTCAAAAATAAATGAAACCCCAAACAACCAAAGAGGTAAAGAAGATGAAGTACTTTCTTTAAGCCCTCGCTTTAGGGAATGCTGGCTGCTGCTGACACATCTTAGTTCATACGATGTCCCTCTGTCCCCTGGTTTTAGTTCTTGGGTTGTCGTGCTCTCCGAAACCAGCTTTCTAGTGATGTCATTACTGAGCACACTGTGAGCTACAGGCATAGGAGAGCACAGAGAAGGTATTGAAGGCGGTTTCCTCACTCGCTATGATAATTGTTCATTCACATTGTAGGATTCACCTTGATTGTCCTTAGCCTTTCCATTGTGAGGATGGAAACCGGCCAAACATTGTCAGAATTATCCAAGTCTACCATCGGCTGCCCCGGCTGGGCTTCTCTCTTTTGCCCTTTTAGTTTTTGCTTTAAAAATCATTGCTATAACAATACTATGACTGAAGTTTTGTGCCCAATTTTTCAAAAATAAATATCATTTCAAAGTCTGGTATTGTTCCACCATCTCTACCAACTGTGGAAGATTCTGCTATCTAATGGAATGTGAAACATTGTGTTATTTAAATTGCTGGGCTATTTTTAAACATTCAGGTTATGTTCTGTTTCTGTAATGAGTAACACTATCCTGAACATACTCCAGCACAAAAAAGTTCTGATTTCTTAAATCGGATTATTTTCTTAGAATAGATTCCTAAAATAAAAATAGGCTTTCTTGTTGGCATATCCCTTAGATGACATTCAACATGTCCAAATCCTATTTGGTCCAGCAGGAGTCCTGCGTGAATCTGTTATTCCAGTTTTTCCTTCACACAAGTGAACATAGGTCCTCCTGCTTGAGCAGTTGTATCCCACTGCCTCATTTCCACAAACTTAATACTAAAATACTAAAAAAAAATAATAAAAAAAAACATCTTCAGACATGAGTTTTGAAAATTTAGTATTTTAGATTCTAATCTGCAAGTTGATGTGTGATATAATCCCAAGCTGAAGTCAGATGTTGGCATTTCACCTGGATCCAAGGCTATCTTTGAGAAGGACTATGAGTAAAACATCAGTTCATAAATACAAAGACACCGTGCAAACAGAGCTCTGTGAACGTCATTGCCTGGGCAGAGCGTGCATGTGTGGAAGGCTAATGGTGACTGTTCAGAATGACTGACACCACTGCTGTTGCTGGCTCTGTGATGGTCTGTGCAGCTGTGAAGAGATTTTGTACTGATTTGTCTTGGACATTTTTTTGGTTTTTAAAGGTAGGGTCTTACTATTTGGCTGCTGCTGGCCTGGAACTCACAAGGTAGAGACCAGGCTAACCTTGAACTCTCAGGTCTGCTCCTTTGCCTCCTGTGTGCTAAGATTGACAGTCCCTGCCGCCATCTTTATAAGTGGGCTGGAACACTCGACTAAAGATGCATACATACATACAAGCACACTTCTGTACATGCATAGATACATACAAGCACACTTCTGTACATGCATACATACATACAAGCACACTTCTGTAAGCCTGCCTCTTCCTGGACTAATGTAAGAGATGTAAATGGAACAGTTAGAGCTGGGCAGAGGTGGGAGGCTAGAGGCCAGTCTGCTCTGAAGTGCCTCAAAAAGAAAAGGTTGTCCATTTTCAGGAATGGAATACATAGAAATAAATAAAAATAAATGGATAAGGTCTGCTCAGCTGCCAAGGAGATGCTAGCAGAGCTGTGCTTCAAACTGCTGAGCAGGCTAGTCTTGGGTGGTTATGGGCCTTCATTTAAACATCCTTCTGCTACAGTTGGACACCACTTTATTTGAAAGAGGGAACATTACCTCTTTGCTATTGCCATTTAGAATAATTAAAAGTTTGTAGATTAAGATTTTCTAAAACACATGTGTCAAGGACTTGCTTTTAAGTAACACAGCAGAGAGAGAAGCATTGGGACCCGTGTGACTGTGTTGTGTTTTATTTTCAGGTTCTGGGCATCCAAGTGAAATGCTTCCAGGAGATCATCACCATCGGGTACAGGGTCTACCACTCCTATGACCTCCCGTGGTTTAGAACACTAAGTTGGTGAGTGGCCATGAAACGCTCTAGATATGCAGATCTGACTCACTTCTAAGTTCTGACATCACAGAGATTCTGGAGGAAGAGAAAGGTGGAGTCACTGAATTTGTAGACGAGAGTAACCTTTGCTCCTTCTGGGACACAGCCTTTCTTGAGCTGCCATTTAGTCTCTGTAATGATATCTAATTAATGATTAATATATATGCTGCTTTAACTCCTCCCTGATCATTATTTTATGAAAAAGCTTACTTATCTTTTCCCCTAAGAGAACACAAAATATTTGATAATGTACAAATACATGTAAAGTTTTGTTGTATGTACTTTTAAAATCAGATGCTCATGGCTATTAAGACCCTGAGTAGGAAACCTGGCACTATAATAGGTCCTTTTCGGCCTACATGGTCATGCCCTTCAGGAAGTTACTCCATTAACATCTTCCCGGGAGCCTCTGGCTTACTAAGATAGGTGCACGTCACCTTTGGGACTTAGAATATTCTAAGTAGTCCCTTACTCAAGTGTAGTGGTGAGAACCTGTAACCCTAGTTCTGGAATCCAACAACCACAGCAACTCACTCAGTTGCTGACTGTCTAAAGCAGGGGAACATTAGGGCAGGACCAGCGTAAGATACACAGTAAGATCTTAGAGATGGGGGTGTGGTGGGGGTGTAGGTGGCTGTCGATAAGACGTAATTGTCTTCTGTCAGTTCTCTTCATTTCTCATAAGAGATTTGGGAAATACATACATACGTACATACATACATACATACATACATACACACACACATACACGCACACACACAAGCACGCACACATGCACACGCACAACTCACATACACACATACATGAGCACACACATGAGCACACACACACAGAATCACTTCTGGGCATTGGAAAGAGCTGAGAAGGACATGAGGACCGTGTAGGGAGCAGTGCCAGGAGATGCTCACCATCTCTTCCTCCTTTCCCTCTTTGCTCACTGTGGTGAGGTGGGGTTGTGTCCTCCAGTATTTGTTATTAAACTTAGGACCATTGAGCAGCTAGGAGATATTTTCATTATAAACTTACTGCTGTGTGTGTGTGTGTGTGTGTGTGTGTGTGTGTGTATGTGTGTGTGTGTGCCCATGTCCATTGTATTTTGCCATTGCTGTCACTGACACTATAGTGTGAGTTAGACACACGAACTGCCTTTGGGTTGCTGGCTGCGGTTGGCTGATAGGCTTAAAGTTCAGTGTAACATGAGAAACTGGCACTGTGGCGGGCGGCATGGTTTGGATGAATTGCCTAACTGGAGTTTGATCTTAGTAGTGCCATCAAAATGCAGGGACTAATTTTGTCACCTTTGAGGGGTACAAAATTACCGCTTTTGAGATGCTGTATTATGTGAGCGTTTCCACACAGCAAGCTAATGGGTTTAAATTCCAGGTACTTCCTGCTGTGCGTGAACTACTTCTTCTATGGAGAGACAGTGGCAGATTACTTCGCCACGTTTGTGCAGAGGGAGGAACAGCTGCAGTTCCTCATCCGCTACCACAGGTTCATATCCTTCGCCCTCTACCTGGCAGGTAACTCGGGGTTGTTATGTACTGACCCACAGCTAATGGTTCCCTAGGCTAATGGTTGTGTAGGCTAATGGTTTCCTAGGCTAACAGTTCCTTAGGTTATTTAAATGCATTTGTGTTTTTCCTGTTACATTTTATTCTGGGCTCTCCTCAAACTATTTCTCATGTATAAAGTTATTTATTCCATTGTGGTCTTAAGTACCATTTACTTTCTAGTGGCAATTAAATAAAAATACATAACTATAGCATTCCATATTTTTCAGATTTTTCTTTTCAATTTATAGTTTTTAAAAACCTTTGAAACACAGAACATTTATTAATCAAATATAATTTATAGAGAAAATTTTACAAATATATATTTATAATGTCCCTAGGGAATTAAGCTTTCTTCTAGTTTAACCAGGTATCTTCTGAAGATGTTGTATTATGTGTGCAAGTTTGTTTACAGGATGCTGGCCAACTTTCTCACTGCTTTTCAACTGTTTAAGGAAGAGCTAGAGGGCACCGAGTTCCGGTCTGTTCTTAAGTGAGGCCCCTCATCCCAAAGCTCTCTGACACTAAGAAATGAGGATGGTAGAGCACAGCGTGGAAGATGCCAGGGGCTTTGGAGGATGGGGGCTGTTTATAAAGGATCTTTCTCATTTTGAATCAGCTTTTTTCCCCATCTAATCCTGTTTTCTGATTACCCCTCCCCCAATTTAAAAAGTTATTAATTGGGGTCTGGCGAGATGGCTGAGTGGCTGCTCTTGTCAAGGACTCTAGTTTGATTCTCAGCACACACATGGTGGCTCACAACTATTTAGGGGACCCAGTACCCCTTCTGTACACACATATCCATGCAGGCTAAACACTGACACACATAAAATCAAATAAATCTTTAAAGAGTTATTGATAATATATTTACAGAAGATGCATACTTGGAAAGAGGCCCTAAAATCTCCCTGTTCTTTCCGTTAGGATTTAGCTGGAAGGGGTGGGGGTCATGAAGAGACGGCAGTGACACCTGCCTAAAGGTCCCCTTAAGGTTCTGTAGTGTGTGGCAGAGGGCTGTTGGCCTGTTGGTACACATCCGTGCCACCGTATCTTGCTTTCTCTCACCAGACAACAAGTGTGATTTCTTTGAATGAAGACTTGATTCCCAGGTGGAGTCTTTCCTTAGGAGATTGGAATCTCCTAGGTCGTCTCAGTCTGTAGACCTTGCTGTTTAACAAAAGTCAGTGAAGTTAGCAGGAAAGAGCTCTGTAGTGGCTTGTGGTTTCTCTGGGTTTGTTCATTTGTTTTGTTTTATGGCTTCTGGTGTGGCTCAGACTGAGGGTCCCACATCTTGCAGAATGCCTTCTGTCATTACTTCTGACAGTTTTGCTTTGTTTCATGTTGTTACTATAATTACTTAGCAAAATTAATGGTTAATTAAAGTATAAACCATTCATGCTATTTATTAGTTTAAAAAAATCAGTTTCTAGGGATTTGTAGTATCAACAGTGTCCTCGCCCCAGCTCCCCTCATGTTCTCTGTTTCTGTAAGTGATGCAGCTACTTGTTTCTTTTTGGCATTATTTGTTTTGATGTTGACTTGTTAAAGCCCATCTCATGTTCCTCACACTCAGGCCTTTCGTTCATCGTTTATGGCACCTAACAGGTACCCAACCCATGCCTTCCTGTTGAGCCAAATACCATCTCATTTCTGTTCCTATTTTAAAAAGATTTTTAGTTTACTTGTATGAGTGTTTTCCCCTGATGTATGGCTGCTCACTACATGTGTGCGGGGCCTGATGAGGTCAGAAGAAGGTGTTAGACGCACAGGAGCTGGCGTTAGAAATGGTTGTGATCTACCACATGGGTGCTGAGAATCAAGGCAAGGTCCTCTGGACTAGCAGCCAGTGCTCTTACCCAACAAGCCAGCCCTCCAGCCCTCCATTCATTCTGAACTCTTTCCTTCTACTGAAGCAACTGCCCTACCTTCTTCCTCCCACACAGTTCAGCTTCATAGCCTTTCGTATTTTCTGTGGGTGAGCTCACATGTACTGTAATAGTCTGTGTTTTTGTTTTCAGATGTCCACACAAACCAGAAAGCGTGTCTTTTATATCTTTTACCTTGTTTTTTGGAGATCTCTGGGTCCCTCCTGTTGTGGACCAGCTGCACAGAGCCTCACTACCTTCGTAATTAGATTTTTCCCTGGTCCCCCAGTAGTGCCCTGTGTGAGGTGCAGGGGAGCATCCTTTGTGTTCTTGGAGTCTCTTTAGTCTATCTACATGACTGATGTCATGATGGCGGCTTGTGCCTGCTGCTAGCCCTTCGCTCGATGCTTCTGCTTCCACTGTCTGTGTTGCTCTAGGGAAGACCCATTGTCGGCCCTGCTGTCTCAGATGGTGTCCTTCTGCTCTCTGTTCTGCTTGGGCGTCATCTTCGTTCTTTTCAGTGGCATTTCAGCGGCTGCCAGGATGAATGGAAATGAGTGTATGTGCGCACAACCACCTTGACTTGGGCTGCATTTCTTCCTGTGTCTTAATACAGCTCATCCGTGTCTCCATTCTATGGGCTGTCAGGCATTGCCAGGTTTTCTACCACAGGGCCTAAAGTCATTGGAGTCTAAGTATGGGAGGACTGGATCTGTGCCCACTGCTGACCAGGGTCTGGTCTGTGCCTCTCCATAGGCTACCTTCTGAATGGGAAGCATGCCAAAATCCTGAAAGTCTTGTTAAAGATAGGATGTTTTAAGAATACATATCCTATCTGCCAGTAGTAAACATTCAGAAAAACAAATGAGTGTTCAGTGAAACCATCTCGATGCTGTAGAGCTTTACTTCCTGCCTCCAGAAGCCTACTGAAGTCACTCTAGAAATTTCCAGCATATTCAAGCCTGTGTGTTCCTGTCTTCCCTCAGCTACTTTCTTAGGCAGAGAAGAGCAGATTATTCTTTAGTTTCCAGTTACTGTACTAAAGGGCAGCTTTATACCGACACCTCTAAACCCACCTGTGTCTCCTGATCCATAATTACATCAGAATGCCACTTGCAGTCCACTGGGCACAGAGTGAACGTCTGTGGGGCTACAGCTTCCTCCCCTTCCTCCCTCTCCTCCCACTGTTGATGGCTGGAACTCAAGCTTGGAATAGCTTCTGTTGAGCAGAGACAGTGAACAGTTTTCTTGTTGTTTTTGTTTATACATTTACACAGACAGCTTCTCTCAACCAATTCCTTTTCAGTGACTGTTCTGTACAAGAAAGTTTTAGAATCTCATAAAATACAATTACTGCTGTTTTCTTATCTCCCAGTGATGTACTGATTTCCGCCACAGACATATTTTACCACAAGCATTAGTAGGGTCACAGAAGCTCATCTGAAAGCCACCAGTCATTTTTTTTTTTAAACGAACCCTGAAGTTCTTCCCAATGCTAGGGTCCTTCGTGTGGCCACCTAGAGAGCATAAGGGCAAGCAGGAGATAACTCCCACCCTGTGTGCAGAGCCTGTGAGCTTCAGGTCCTCCAGTTCACTTTGCAAATGCAAATGGGCAAGGATTAAAGGAAAGACTGGAACTACAGACACCTTGGAGAAGAGGTGACTAGTGGGCGGGTCTCTGCCATTCATCCCCGGACAGGCCGAGGAACCAGCTGAGCTAGGGACAGAGCTGAGAGACAGTGGCATGGCTGAGCCTGGAAAGTCCATACATGCATCTTGGGATGCTGTCATGTTCGTGGAAAGGATTTGGACTTCTCCCAGGGAAGCCCCTGGGGGCTTCCACAGCAAGAGAAGATAAGAGCAAATCTGTGACTAAGTGAAAAATGGGTTGGGAGCAGTTGACAAGGAGACCTGAGGAGGCAGAGCCTTAATCTTGCAGGTTGATACTCGTCATTCAGTAAATTCCCAGAGCTCTGTGCTGAGCCTGTGTGTGTGCCGAGTGACTGGAAGTCTGAGACTGCACATCCATGCACGGTGCTTGTGAGTGCTAGTGTGTTTGTGTGTCTGTGTGTGTCTGTGCGTGTGCTGAATGACTGGTGGTTGTGAGTGCTGTTGCCTCAGCCCCCCCGGCCTTCTCTGTTATCTTGTTGTGAGTGTACGTTGTTAGCAGAACGGTGAGTCTGAGTGACAGAGCAGGACTTTGGAACGGTATGGGGAAGTGGGAGGTGCTGTGTTCATAGGTGTGTGCTGTTAGAGTGTGAAAGGGCGCTGTGAGAACGTTGGTTTTATTGCAGTGATCAAAGGACTTTGGAAAGCATGTCTGAGCTGATGTTATAATCAAAGAGAGCTAAGCTGTTTCACTGACATTACACTTTATTGGAATAGGATGTCCGTATCTCTGGGTCTGTCCTCATCGGAGGCCATCAGATTCAGTGACTGCGTCCTATCATACAAGGAGACTCACCGACTAGACTGGAAGTCATTCTGACATTTAGATAATGTTGTCACAAAGTGAATTTGACTGATAAACAAAAAAAGTCAGTGAGACTGGAAATAATACAAACTTCTCTGGAGACCAGATTTGCATAATAATGAACACCTCACAGGCTTAGTGACTTGGATTTGGGCTGTTTAGGAAGGAGAGCAAGCTTGTTGTTGCAAGTCCTGTAATGACAGGTTCAGGTATCTGGGGTGTAGGACTCCAAAGGACAGCACCAGCTACAGTCACGTGATCACTTTGAATACATTTATATGTGATCGCTTGGGTTTTTTAAAATTGTTAAGGCGTTTGATCAGTATCCTTTGACACTCAGGTAACAGGGCTGGTTCACCTGTCCATTTCCCAGTTACCTACTTACTCTTTTAACCTCTGTCTCAACAACTCAGCTATGGCTGAGGAGCCCACCTAAGGCCTCTGAATGTATTTGAGAAGATGCCAGAAGTTTTTTTTTTCCTCATAACCCAGCAGAGAGTGAGGAATGAGTTAGCAAGTACCTCTTGCAAACCTAGGCCCATCCCCATGGCTGTTAGGACTGAAAATGTCATGTGTTTATTGAATTGCTTAGTCACTAATAGTACAATTTAAAACTGATTCATTGTTCTGTCTTCTGTCTCTTCAGCTGGACAGTGAGCTCTGGAATGCTTGTGCCTGCCTATCTCTTTTCTTCCTTCCTTCCTTCCTTCCTTCCTTCCTTCCTTCCTTCCTTCCTTCCTTCCTTCCTCTCTCTCTCTCTCTCTCTCTCTCTCTCTCTCTCTCTCTCTCTCTTTCTTTCTTTCTTTCTTTCTGTATCTTGCATCTGGAATATTGTAAATGTTTGCTAAGTTTTAAACCATTAACTCATTTTCTGAAATTCCCAGTTTTTCCTTCTCTTTTCCTGGCATGCTCAACCGCGTTGTTTGTTTCTGTTCTTTGCTGTAGACACATCTATCTGTTGGGAACTGGCTCTTGCTGGCCCCTGAGGAGTGCTTGGGATGGGATATAGGATGCTCATCTCTGCATCAGCACCTCCAGTTCAGCCAGGGCAGCTACACTGAACTGAGAGCTGGAGCATCAGAGCTGAGTGTGCTGGGCACCTGCTCTGTGCCCTGTTGCTGTGATAGAACATTCATCATAAGCAACCTGAGGAGAAAAGAGTTTATTGGGTTTACACTGTGTGGTCACAGAAGCCACAGCAGGAGCCATCACTCAGGGAACACACAGTAGGAATCTGGAGGCAAGGAATGAAGCCAAGACCATGGAGGAACATGGCTTACTAGCTTGCTTCCATGATTTGCGTAGCTACTCTCTCATCCACTCCAGGACCTCTTGCCTAGGGGTATCACTGCCCTCCCACAGTGATCATTAATCAAGGAAATGCCCCACAGACCTGTCCGCAAGCCAGTGTGAAAAAAGCAGTTCCTCAATTAAGTGACCCTCTTCCCAGGTAACTCTACTTTGTGTCCAGTTGACGAATACCTAACCAGGCTTTCCAGTGACTACTGTTACTTGTAGTAATGTAACAAAGCCTGTGATTTTAATAGAAAACATAGCTATGTAAATATTCTTTGTTAAGAGAAAGGTATGACTGTCTATCTAGATGTATAAAGTATATTTTCTCAAGAGTTGTTAAGATATAAGGTATATACAATCTTACTTTCTAAGCAGAAAATATTCACGTAGTCATGTAGTTGTGACTGTTGATTTCCATGTCTATTTCTTGAAATACCTAGCTTTAGATGAACTTGCTGTCTTAGTCACTGTTCTGTTGCTGTGACAGGCAACATGAGCAAGGCAACTTGTATTTAGTTAGGGGCTGGCTTATGGTTCCAGAGACCTAGTCCATTATGTCATGGCTGGTGGTTTAGCGGGCCTGCGGGACAAAAGAGCAGCAGCTGATACTTGATCCTTCTAATCCTTTCAGTCAGTGCCCCTCCCTGGTGACTACGCATTCAAATACAGGAGCCTGTGGGGGCCACTCTTACTCAAGCCAGCAGTCTTTACACCTCCTTCCTGACATTAGAGACTTTGGTGGTTTTGATTTAGTTCTCAAGTAACTGTGGCCTGTAGGTGAATATGGATTGCCAAGATTGTTCTGGATAAAACTTCAATTAGGAAAGTACAGAATGATTCTGCTGATCATTTTGTTTGGTGGGTTTCAGTGTGAATGACTCATAGCTGACGCTATCCAGCAGTTCCTGAGGCCTTGCCATGGGACTGAGAGGTTGCTTGGGCAGAGAGGTAGGTCCAGTTCCGGGGACAGGCAGCTTCTACCGTAGATGAGCAGGGCACAGTGGTGCAGAGGTCCCGTTACTACTTCAATTGCAAGTTATATCCACCTGCTACAGGAGGTGTTTCAACTTCATCTCTGCTGTTGTAATAAAACCCCCTGACAGAAAGCAACTTTTGGGAGAAAAGATTTATTTTAGCTCTCAATTCTAGGTCAGTCCATTGTCCTGAGGATGTCAATACAGGAACTTGAAGCAGCTAGTCACACCCACAGTCAGGAGCAGAGAGAGAATGTGTGCCTGTCTGCTGTGCTCAGCCTCCGCCCTCTCCGCACTGTCCACCAGCCAATCAACACAAGATAGCCCACAGGCATGCTCGTGGGCCAGCCTGATCTCAGAAACTTCTGGGTCCTCTACTCAAGTGACTGTAGCTTGTGTCAAGTCGATAGTTAAAGAAAGCCATTGTAGTTTATGGTCTTTGAGTGGAGCATTGTTACCAAAGTGGCATAGGTTATTTAAACTGCATCACGCACGCATGCATCCGTGTACCCACACACAAATACACGCACATTCAAATGCATGCATGCATGGGCTACATGATTTTCTTTAGCTTTGTCAAAGATCTTTAGTGTTATTTATCCTCTCCCTTTGTTTCCTTCCCATATCCCTCCCCTGGCAAGTTTCCCACATGCTGCCCCAGACCATTTTACCCACCCCTCTCCATAGTACCTGTGACCCACAATCCCCCTCTTTAGAGCTCCTTCTCCCCACCCCTCCCCACTCTCCTGGTTTCTGCAGTTACTTCAGATGATACCCTCATCTCTGAACACTGGAGCAGGGATCCGTAGGTAAAAGGTCGGGTGGCATTTGTCTTTCTGTCCATATGCAAAGGAGTGGTCTAGGGTAGATCTGAATTTGGCTTTTGGAGAATTCTCCACACTGATTTCCAGAGAGACTGCACCAGTTTTCAGTTCTGCCAACAAAAAGTGGAGGTCACTTTCACACACGCTCGCTGGCATTTGTTGTGCGCTGCTTTCCTGGTCTTGCCCTTTCTGCTAGGGTAAGACGAAATCTCCAAGTGATTTTAGTTTGCATTTTCCTGATTGTGAAGGATGCTGACCACATTTGCAGATATCTCTTAGCTTTTTTGTTTCTTTTGAGAACTCTCTGTTCAGATCCTTTGCTCTGTTTTTAACTGGGTCATTTATTTTCTTGACCATTTTGTGAAATCTTATAAATTCTGGATATTAGTCCTTTATTGGGTGAACAGCTGTCAAATATCCTCTCCTTCTCTGCAGGCTTCCTCTTCACTTGACTGATTGTTTCCTTTGATGTACCAAATGTTTAGTTTTGTGAGGTCCCACTCGTCAGTTCTTGGCTTTAATACCTAGGCAAATGGGGTCTTTTTCAGAGTGCACCCCTCTACCCATATCCTGTAGGTACTGCTGACTGTGTACCTTCTAGGAGTTTCAGCGTTTCAGAGTCCACACGGAGGCCTTTGATCCATTTCGAGTTGATTCTGTACAGTGTGATAGATGTGTCTCCAGTTTCATTCTTCTATATATAGACATCTGTGAATTTGAGGAGTTGAGGGAGGAGGGGGAGGGAAGGAAAATAATAAATACACATTCATATAAAAAAGTCTCAGTAAAGAAATAAGGAAAACATAAACCTAGTCATCACAGCAGGAAAACTTAAAATGAGACTTTGATGTGCTCGGCAGCTGGAGCGCCTGGATTCCATGTCCTCAGCCCCTCTTTTCACCCACTCTCTCTACCTCTGCTCCAAAGTATTATGTCAGCCTTTGTCTCTACCAAGGAGTGTTTTCTTACCGGCTTCACACTCCAGTGAGCAGTTTACTCTGCAGATGACAGATAGGGTGTAGGGACAGTGGTCAGTACCCACTGCCCTTATCCTGCCATAATCCTTACTTGTGAACATTTAAAATCAGTCTTCAAAAACAGACAGAGGCAGCTGCTGCTTGGTTCTCTGTCCCAGGAGAGATGCACCCTGGGATATACAGGCCCATGGACTGAGTACAGAGATGTAAAAGCTAGCATTTATCTCGTGGTGTAGGTCGGTTGATGAAAACAGATTAACTGTGAACCCACTGCAGAACTCATGCAGCCTGTCCAGATTAGACTCAATGTGTGCATTTTCAGGCTCCACCTCTGCTAGAAACGCGTCTTTACAAGGTTGCAGTGTTCCGAGCAAGCCTCGTATTATATTATTATGTGTTAGTGTATGATTAAGGAGTTGCACTGAATTGGAAAGTATGTCTTCATTGTCATAAGTGTCGGTGACACCGTCATAAACTCAAACACAGGGAGAGAAGAACTCACTTGAGAGCATTATAGTGCATTGAAACTACTGATGTAGGGCACTCCACGTTATTCTCTGTCTGAATCCTGCCACGTGAGCTTCTGTGGAATGGGATGACTTGAGACCAGGAGCATCTAAACATTTCTTTTCATTCTGTGGTCCTCAGTTCTCATTTGTGAAGTGGGGATGATGGTGGGTAGCTCCGTCAAGGACACTGAGCGATGGAGTTATACGAAAGCCTAGACCGGAGCTAGGAACATACCGTGTTTAATGGGCATTAGCTGCCATAATAGTCGTAGACGTTAGACGTATTCTGGAATGCTCTCAATCAATTGACATCTTATGTGGTAGGATATGCTAAACTGAGGATTGAAAATAGGGCCCCTCTCATGCTAGGCAGACACTCTGCCACTGACCTACTGGCCTGCTCTTGGTATAGTAATAATCTAAGATGTTTTTCAGCTTGCGTATTAGCAAGGGACTAATTCATTTACTTAATGTAGGAGATAGTGATTAAATTTTTTCCATGGAAAATGTCAGGCACTTTAGAGATTTCAAAGTTGTTCCTTTAGGAAACTCCTAAAACCGCTAAAGGCGAGGTAGTGTTGGGTCGAGTGATGGCTAAGGTGTGCTTGCACGTGATGCAGGAAACTGGTTATGGGGGAGGGGATTCACGGAGTCTCATATTTGAGATGAACTCACACATGTCTTTTGTTCTTGAGCAGGTTTCTGCATGTTTGTCCTGAGCTTGGTGAAGAAACACTACCGACTGCAGTTCTATATGGTGTGTATCAGCAGCTTTCCTTAGCTGTTCTATATGGTGTGTATCAGCAGCTTCCCGTAGCAGTGCTCAAGCTCTTCCTGTACTTAAGAGAACAGAAATTAGCTGGTTAATGCCCTGCCTGAGCCTGGAGAATTTTTCAGTTTTTTTTCCTGTGTTCATTAGATACTGGAGTTGAAAGGGTTTTGAGAATTAAAACTTACATCAGTTCCTAAAGTGTTATTGAAACATTCAAAAAAAAATTCAAAGACAAAAAAAATGTAAATGGTATGTTTGAATTCGCTAACTGTGGGAATTCCTCTCTGGGGCAGTTGCTCTAGCCTAGGAAGGATCTGCTGTGCGGGCGGTTGGGCGGTCTTGTGACCAGTGACTTTGAACACCCGCTGCAGACATAAGCACAGTGGCAGAGCATGTGCCTTTGCCGGCAGTTGTGGTCAGCCACAGATTCCCTGCCCTAAGATTCTTTGTTCGGTGGAGAGTAGCAGTCTGTGCTTCCTAAGATCCGTCACTTTACACAGTGTGCTTCTTATTTTCCTGAAGTGGGGCCCCAAGTCTACAGCACTGAGAGGTACGACGAACTCAGGGTCAGCAAGGCTTATTCAGATTGGGTCATTTCTTCCCACGTGGACTTCTCTTTAAGGAAATTTTCTACAAGTTATTATTGCTAAGAAATTTGCAATATTTCCTAAATTTCAAGTTTCAGGGCATCCTATAGTAAAATTCTTAATGAAACCTAAAAACAAGCAGGACAGATTGGAGATAATGGCGTGTCCTCTTAGAAGCTGGTTCTAGGGCCACTGGGGACAGCAAGCGCTGTGCACACTGGAGGATCTTGTGTTTCTGTGTGGGCTGCTTGCATCCTCTCGTGGTCTGAAATCATTTTAGTTACTTATAAGACTTTACGTAATCAAATCCTGTGTAGTGACAAATGACAAGGAGAAACAGATCTGTGCATTTGACCCGTGCATCTATGGGGCACCTGAATGTGTGGGTACAGTATTTACGGGCCATAGAGGACCAAGTATAAAATGTTGCCTATTGAGAAAAAAAATGTATTTTAAGAATAAAATACTTGGTTCTTTTAAATGTATACCAGTAGAACAGAAGAAAACAAGTAACATAAAATACCTTGCTGAGATGAGAAATGACTTTTTAAGCGTCATTCAAATAATCTGAATTATTTGAATTCATAATTACTAATCAAAATTTTCAGATGAATGCATAGAATTATGATTGCTTTTGGATCACACTCTGCCATAGTAATTGTGCTAACAGTCACCGAAGTCGAAGTCGCTGTCTCTCAGGCTGAGGGCTGAGGGAGGGATGTGAGGGAGTACTGGGGGAGGGAGGGGCACAGCAGAGGGCTTTGAAAGGTTAAAATTGTATAACATCATTGAACAGACATGAGAAAGATCCACTTTCAGCATGAAAACATGGACCTTAAGGACAGCGAATCCAGAGAGTTTTACTCTTTCAAAGCCGGAAATAACTCTTTGCAAGAAATGGTTGTCATAGGGAAGAAAGCACCCTCTGTGTTTCCTGGAGTAGTCAGCCTCCAGCACCGCTTCCACAGCAGCTGTGGCTTCTCAGTCATCCATGTGGAGCGATCCACTTTGTGTTTTCGAACGTAATAGTATACCTCACTGGTATTACCGTTCCATTTATCTATAAATTGTGGCGGTTTCGCCCAGTAATTCTGTGCATTCAGGGCTCTAGTAGGCAATACGAAGAGAGGAATGTACTAACTGCACTTGTTTTGCTTGAATGACCTTATCTTACAAATTCTGATCAGGAGTCATGGCAGAAAATGTGTGTTTCAAAACTGCTCTTGCTCTTCGGCCGCCTGACTGCTGCGTTGCTAACCTTTGTGTTGTTGGGCTATTAACAGTTCGCATGGACTCACGTCACTTTACTGATAACCGTCACTCAGTCACATCTTGTCATCCAAAATCTGTTTGAAGGCATGATATGGTAAGGGATTATGCTGTGTTATGCTGCGTTCTGTTTTTATGTCCTGCCTCTTAAATCCTAACACCGGGCAGTAGCTTCCCTGTTTCCACTACAGTGGACCACGTGGTCCCAGTAAAATTACTGAATTTTACTTACTGTTTGACAGCTGAGCACAAGCTTCATTAATGACTGGAGTCCTTTAGTTCCACATAAAATGCAGAAAGTCTGCCTGAAGACCCAGTTATGTTTTCAGATGCTAACCAATCCCAATGTTGCTTTTTTTTTTTTAATAAAACGAAGGATTTTTTTACACAGATTGTAAAAAATATGTGACAGTTGGCTTTCAGAAAGCATGCTGGAGAACTGTCTTTTCTCCGGGTGACAGTTGGGCGGGAAGGAGCTTCTAAACTGCCACTCACACAGAGCTGGGAGCTCCTCAGCACTGGGCCTTGCAGGTTCAGAAAGCATTTTTATTAATTAAAAGTTATCCAACTTAATAATTAGAAATGAGTAGGGTGGGGAGAGGGCTTAACGGGCTTCTGTGCACCTTCACGTTCTAGAGTTCTGCCAGGAGAGGTTTTACCCCTTGACAGCTTACCAAAATGTGCACGTGTCCTGTAAACATTTGCTTTCCAGTTTTCGGACAGATGTCATGTAAAACCTTTCGACTGAGGGAGGAATGTTGCTTACATAAATAGATTCCACAGGATTATCAGAGTTCAGCAGAGTCCGAGGCTAAGATAGGAAGAATTACAATTAATGTTTTCCTGAAGGAGTTTGCGTTAAGAGCTTGGGGTGAACTCACCACTTCATTCTCTGCCTGTGCACGTGGCTTGTCCTGCATTCCACTGCAGCAGTGCTGTGCAGTGTCTTCCTTAGCTGTGCTCTCTTAGTGTCTCGGGTTAGTGATGGAGAGGGTTACCATGTAGGCTCATTCTGAGCTCTAAACCAGATAAGGGTCTGCTGTTTAACCATGCACACCTCTCTCTGCTAATGTTTTAAAGGTTCCTTGTTCCCATATCAAGCGTCATCTGCAATGACATCACGGCTTACCTTTTTGGATTTTTTTTTGGAAGAACTCCTTTAATTAAGGTAATGGGAAATGTCAGAAGGGAGCCTTCCCGTAACCTTAGAGCCGAGGCCCTGGGATTGTTCGACCCTTAGCGCTCTTGTACACTTGATTTGCACACAGCAGTTCACCTCAGGGCAGTGAGATGCCTTCTACTCTGAGTTTGCTCTCCTGTGTGCAGTTGGGTCGTCCATGGGAGCCAGGTTCTATTGTCCTCTGTTCCTGGCAGTTCCTCATCTCCCTGCTGGTTTCTCTTCCCCTCACCCTTGCTCAGTTCTTCACTCCTCCAGCAGCCTCACGGCCAGCCTCAGCTCGGCTTGCTCAGCTCTCCCTTCCTGAAGTAAATTTCCAAAAAGAGTAAGGCACACATCTGTGTGCACAGAGCCACGGCCATTTAAAGATAAGACTGGAGGTGCTGAAGCAGACAGAGAGAGCTTAGGACGGGGGAGCATCTGTGGACAGCCTTTGCATTTAAGATGGGGGGGAGCATCTGTGGACAGCCCTTTGCCTTGGACTTGGTCCTGCTTATTAACAATGGAGGCAAAAACATGAATGAAATTATTCAGATCTCAGTTTTAGGACAAGAAAGAAACAAGTTTTTATGAAAAACCGAAGCTTTTCCTAGTACTGATTTAATTAATTAATTTTTGTTTTGTTTTTTGAGATAGGGTTTCTCTGTGTAGCTCTGGCTGTCCTCGAACTAACTTACTCTGTAGACCAGGCTGATCTTGAACAGGTAGATCCACCTGCCTCTGCCTCCTGAGTACTGGGACTAAAGGTGTGCACTACTATTGCCTGGTTTAATTTTTTTTAAAAAGACCTTTTTATGTTGGGACTTCCAAAGGAGTCAGTTTCCATCCTGAGCGAAGTGTTCAATAGGAGTCTTACAAATGTTTTCCTCGGCTGAAATGAAGGCAGGTCTGGAGGAAGCAGGGGCCACTGTTGGATAATGGATTAGCCTCAAGCTGCTGAGCAAAGTGAGGAAGTGCAGTTCCTGGGGGATCGTGGGCAGCCTATCCTCAGCACCTCATCAGCTCTCCTCTTGTGGACAGCCACACAGAACCAGGCCCAGCTGTGGGCTGCTGGTATGCAAGGTGTGGGTCTCTGACACGTCTCTAAAGCTGCTGCACCGGAACACATGAGCATGCTCACAAGCTCTCTCCAGCATGCCGTGAGGGAGACCTCGAGCCATCCAGGAGTCCCAGTGACTGTTTTTGAATACCTTTCAAGTGACTTCACCAAAGTCGATTATCAACCTGGGAGGTTGAACAATTATCTGGTGATCGGCTATGAGTCAGCTGGAAGCATTCTTAAGTTATCAGCAGATACTTTAAGTCCACTTGACGGCACTAATACAGACGCTGGATTATTCTGGGAGAAGGGACGTTGGTGTCTTCTCTGTGGCAGAATTGTTACCAGGTTTGTTAGGCTGCCAGTTAGTTTAGATTTGAGGTGTTCTAGCGTAAAGGTTAAGAACTCTACAAGGAACTCGGGTAGCCTGGGCTTTGACTTGTTCCTTCCCTGAGAGTTAGCGCTGTCCCTGCAAGCCTCCTTGACACAGCCATTTTAATTCTTACCTTCCATGGGCAGCTCTGGGCATTCAGGACCACATACTCAAGTCTTCTTTCCTTACATTTCCAAGTTCCCGACTTACCTCCAGGATTTCCTTCCTGAATGTCTTGTTGACTGGGAAATGAGAGCCCCACTGAAACATACCCAGGGTCTGTTCTTCAAAGCACAATATGTTCCTTCCTCTCTAAAGGTAGATGTAGATCGTGTGTGTGTGTGTGTGTGTGTATGTGTGTGTGTGTGCGTGCCCTTATTTGGGGCTGTTGAGTATTTCATTTCGGAAGGAACGCTCGTTTTTTTTTTTTTTTTTTTTTGGTTTTTCGTGACAGGGTTTCTCTGTGTAGCCCTGGTGTCCTGGAACTCACTCTGTAGACCAAGCTGGCCTTGAACTCAGAAATCCGCCTGCCTCTGCCTCCCAAGTGCTGGGATTAAAGGCGTGCACCACCACCGCCCGGCTGAAGGAACTCTCATATACATTGCATATTAGGACTGAGATGAACATACCAGTTTGTAATCTTAGCACTCAAGAGGCTGAGGCAGGAGGATTGCAAACTCTAGACCAGAATGGGCTACATTGTGGGACCCTGTTCTCCTAACCTACCTGCCCTGAACAAGACAATCTGGAGTGTTATGGTGCCTGGGCCCTGTTGTATTCCTTCTGTCCTTTTGGTCAGGAGCAGGGCAGCACTGGTAGCATGCGCTCGGAGTGACTAACAACCTTATTCCAAGAGGCGCATGCAAGCCATGAGAAAATGATTTCAATATTGAATGCGTAGCCCCCTGAAAGACAAAAAAGAGAAAGGACTTGAGGCTGTTTAACAGAAATGAGTAGACATTGATAGTACCTCACACACACGAGGTCTGCTGTGTGTTAAATGCTCCTCAAGACACTTGCTCGGGTAAGTCACTACCATACAGTGAGCAACTAGAGTTGTAAATCATTGCAATAAGAGGAAAGGGAAGGCCAGGCACTCAAGAGGCAGACATAGATAGATCTCTATGAATTTGAGACCAGCCTAGCGTACAGAGCAAGTTCCAGGACAGCCAGGGCTCTGTTTCAGAGAAACCCTGATCAAAAAACCAGAGAGAGAGAGAGAGAGAGAGAGAGAGAGAGAGAGAGAGGTTGAGAGAGAGAGGTTGAGAGAGAGAAGAGAGAGGAGAGGAGGAGAGAAAAAGAGAAAAGAGAGATGTCCAGGGCATTGATTGGGGGGAACTCATAGAGGCCCTTGTGTTCCCAGGGTTGCATGTGTACTAACCCCCACCCCAATCTTTTTTGGCCTCTATAGCTGTCTCCTAAGAAGACCTGGGAAGGATTCATTGGCGGTTTCTTCTCCACAGTCATATTTGGATTCATTGTGAGTTTTATTAAGATTTTAATTGTATTTATGCTCTGAAAACCCATGTTAGATTTTAGCCTTTTCTAAACCTACAAAATCACAAAATGCTACTAATATTTTTTGTTAAAACTTACTAAATAGCCGCTTATTATAGTCTGTCATTCTCTGCGTTTTGGTTAGAATGGTCTTCTCTGATAGCCCCCTGTCTGCTGCCTAAAGAGCTTTCTTTGATGAGAGGTGAGAACCACATTTACCTATGAGTATAAGGACAGGCTGACACCCCACTAACAAACACATCAACAGTTCCACCCCTAACAACAGCTTAGACTCAGGGATCTCACTGGAGGTGGCAGTGGTGGTGACGAGATGGTTAGAGCCAGAACACCAGGTGTCTGCTATAAGACCCTGTCAGACTTTTTAGTCTAGTCCCTGAAAATTGATATAAGTTGATATCAAGTTGATGTAGTTGATATAAAATATCACATCCAAAGACAGTGTAATTACAACATCATGAAGCTTTGGGAGAGTAAATCCATAAATAACTGGAAAAGTGGCATTGTCTTGTATGGGGAAACTACCTCCTCTATTTAATTTGTAAACATAATTCATTCTCAATGAAGATTCTAGTAGAATTTGGGAAAAACAAACAAGATTTGAGGTAGAACATCAGTAATCATTGATACACACTGATGATCCTATCTGAGGTTTATGCATCAAAAGTAAAATACCAAGTTAAATAAGACTGTAAGAGTTTGTATTTAGAAATATGGAATGGAGAGCCCCATCACTGGAAGAAGTAAAGAGCTAGCCCTTAAAACATAACATACAGCCATGTAAGAAACTGGTCTGTTTGGCGGCAAGGCAGTTTTCCATTCCTAGTATCATATTTGGATTTCTGCTATTCTTGAGCAGAGCAAAGGCGGTGAGTGGCTGGAGGAAACCAAAGGTAACCTTTTGTTTAGCAACATTAATGTACAAGAAGATCTCCCATTTCCATGGCTTAGGACAGCTAATTTTAAAAACTGTCCTGGGAGTCCTGGGCGGGTAAGAGACAGTGGCACCTTTCACCTGCACTGCTGGTAACCGTATGCTTAGTGACTTTGTATCAGATGACGAAGTTTGTGTGAGCCTGTGTGCAGCAAGCCCTATCTTTGTAATTCACTCCTTTACTGCACCCTCCTAGCCTCTGCTAAGACTTACTGTGTAGACTTTTAAAAGTAAGGTCTTGTGTGGACAAGTTGGCTCCGCAGGTAAGGGTAGTTGCTCTGCAGATCCTAGAGACACAAGTTTGATCCCCAGAGTCCACATGAAAGGTGAAGGAGAACACTGACTCCACAGGGCTGTCTTGGGGCACGCACACAACATGCACACATACTTAGAACAGTAACAAGATACACCGGAGAGCAAGATCTCCTCTAGTGCTCTTTTAAGACTGCATCAGCCCCACCCCTTCTTAGGCTGAATGGAGATCTCGCTGCTATCAAAAATTCTTGCATTCTCTCAAGGTCTTTGAAGCCCTTTCCTGGGACCATCTTGACCTAATTTTGTAGCATGTAGACATCCTGGCACCTGGCTCTTGCCCTTGTAACACATGCTCTCCTTTGACTTGGGCGTTGTCACATGAATCTTGCCTTGTTCTTCAGGCTGCCTATGTGTTGTCCAAGTACCAGTACTTTGTGTGCCCGGTGGAATACAGAAGTGATGTCAACTCCTTTGTGACAGAATGTGAGCCCTCAGAACTGTTCCAGCTTCAGAATTATTCCCTCCCTCCATTCCTACAGACAGTGCTGAGCCGGGTAAGACAGATGTCCCGTTAACACGATTAGAGCAGTTGTTCCCGACTGAGCTGCCTTTTCAAAGTGAAGTTCTGACTCTTTTTTAAAAAAGATTGAGAGGTGGATTGTATGTTTACCATCTTCTTAAACACCATCAAATGGGCGTTAACATTCCAGGGCATTTGTTTGTTTGTATATTAGGAGTTTATTTGCATAATGATTTAAATACTGATAGCCATTTAGTTTGTGTTGTCTAAATGTTTTAAAATATTTAAAAATAAATTTAAAAAATTTTACAAGTAATGATTTGAATAAAATTTCCATGTTTATGATTCAAGTCAGTATAAAACTCAGTTGAGACTCATAAGCTGAAAGAGCCCTTGATTTTTAGGGTTCATTATTAATACAGAAATAGAGAAAACTCATTCTAAAAATGAGTTTTCCCACTGCCAGCATTGAAAGCATGTTGAGGTGTCATTCCTCAGAACGTTTGGCACGCTCTCCGGTGGCAGCCCTGTGTCTGTTGCTGCATCATTAGAGTGGGAAATGGAAGGGCTGGCCAGTTTACGTGGGAAGAGGAAACCTCAGCTGAAGGGTCACCTCTGTCAGATTGTCCCATGGGCTTATCTGTGGGACATCTTCTTAATTGCTGACTGACTGGGAGGGCTCACGGTGTGGGTCGCACACGTTTTTCTCCACATCCAAGCTTACTCTCACATGCTTGAGCTGGAACAGTCTTCAGTTTGGAGTAATGCTGTTGCTTTGAGAACAGATCTGAAAATTTGTGGGTCACCATAGTCATCATGTGCTGCTTTCAGTTCAAAGTTACTTAAGCAGGAAAAAAACTTATACTTCAATAATTTGACTGAAATTCTGTTTGGGTGATTTCCCCACGTTGTCTGGGATCATTCATTCATGCTCATGTTGACAGGATTTATTTCCTTTGAGACAGGGTCTTCTTACCAAGTAGCCCAGGCTAGCCTTCAACTCAGTGTATTTCTGTGTCAGCCCCTAGAGTTCAGGCACACACCACTAATTCTTGATATTATTCTTTTTGAAAGAATTGTTTATTTTGTGTATATGAGTATGCACTGTAGCTGTCTTCAGACACAACAGAAGAGGGCATCAGATCCCATTACAGATGGCTGTGAGCCATCATATGGTTGCTGGGAATTGATCTCAGGACCTCTGGAAGAGCAGTCAGTGCTCATAACCACTGAGCCATCTCTCCAGACCCCCTTGATAGTATTTTAAGATACTTATTTCTGCGTGATTCCATAGCTTTCAACCTAGTTTTGGTGAGAAAGAAAACTTTTTATTACTTTTGTCATTTGAAATTAAATTGCTATAAAATATAAAATTAAAATAAGTCCCATAAAGCCAAGAACTATGGCCAGAAGAGCAACAAATGTTGGAGTGAACCCAAATGTAGGCCTTCCACACAGCCAAGCTAGAATTCCACAGTTGTATCAGGTGTGACAGGGAGGTAGTATGTGTGGGCAAGGAGTTGGCCTTCAAAGCTTGGTAAGTCAGCAAAATCGTGGCCTGCCTTGACTTCCCAAGTCCACCACAGTTCTGGATTCTGACGCAGGAGTGAGTGCAGGGTTAACGCACAGGTCCTCTCTGCTTCTTCCTCCTTAGGAAACCGTGAGTTTGTACCCCTTCCAGATACACAGCATTGCCCTTTCGACATTTGCATCACTGATTGGCCCATTTGGAGGTTTCTTCGCCAGTGGATTCAAAAGAGCTTTCAAAATCAAGGTGTGTTTTTACATTCTTCACTAAGTTGTTGTACACAGAATTAGGAGCTCTATTGTTGTTGAGATGTTGTCCACAAGCCCCTGGGAAATCACACCATCCCTGAAATCTGTTTTAGCCTCACAGATGCTGCATGGCTGGTTTGAGTGTATTCTCCTTTTGGTAGGTTTGGCTATGCCATATTTGTTCATTTGGAAGTGTGTTAGCCTCTTCTGGAGATGAAATGCCCCCTCATTGCTGGTGTGAGCGCAGCCTTGCCATTTCGAGATGTTAGTCTCTGCTGAAGGACTCTGCGGTGGGGCCTGTGGAAGGGGAGCTCTCGTCCTGCTGCCTAGGGGGTTTTCAGACTAGGTGGTGTCAGGCTTTGAAGAACATTCTTCACCACAGCATTTCCTCTCTAACTGCTGCATGATGCTTGCCCCACAGACATGAATGTCTCAATAAAACTTTGTTGATAAGACATGCTTGTGGGCTGGATTTGGTTTGTGGGATCTGGTGGGCTGATTTTGGTCCAGAAACTCACAGTCGTCCCTATGCTTTAGAAGCCCTTACCATGTTAAGGTAGAATTGGCTCATGAAGGGCTTGCGTGGCTGTTGAAGATGAGGTCAGGGAAGGTAGCTCTGAGGAACTGTCCTTGGGGCTGAGATCTGACACAGAGAAGCCTGAAGAAGACAGTTGAAGCAAGTGCAAGAAGCGGTGACTTGTCTACTGCAAAGGGGGTCACTTATTGAGTGCAAGGAGGGGGTGACTTGTCAAAGTGGGGAGCAAGGACAGAGTGGCTGTGTTAGAGAAGGGTTGAGAACACAGTGTTTGGAAACCTGACCACATAGGGAAAGAAATGAACTCAGGGAGCCTCTGAGCCTACAAGGTCCCTGTCCTCAAGATGCTCCCTCCCTGGCAAGGAAGGTGGGAAGCAGTCCAGTCTGTGGTGACAACTGAGGCTCCATGAGGTGACTTCCTTAAAGAGTGGGATCAGGCTGCTGTGGCTCCCTCACGCTTCAGTGAGCAGAGCTGGAGGGAATGAGTTGGCAAAAATTAGTCACAGAGCTTCTCAGTAACTGTTGTAAGTGAAGAGAGGTATTCAGAATGCCATTCTAAAAAAATACTCTGAGGGTTCTCACTAAAGGGAGAGGTTTTCTTTTCCTGCCTGAAGGTGCAACTGCTGTTGTGTGTCCGGTGCCCCAGTGTGCTGGAAGAGCCTGTCACCTCTGTTCCTGGGGTTCAGGCAGCAATGCTTCTGCAAAGTGAGTTTGGAGAAGCCTTGTTACCATTACCACCTCTCTGTAGGCTATTTAGTGATGGATGGTCTCAGTGAGCCTGCTGCTTTGCTATTGTTTTTACCTCAGTGCTGGAAAAAGACTGTTTATCACTGGAGTGTTCCAGAACAAGAACCTTTGGATAAGCCTAAGTCAGAAACATGTGAGCACACCATGTGAAACACCAGAGCAACTCCCACACAGCCCATGGCCATGCAGGGGCAGAGGTGTTCATGAAATAGAGAAGGATAGTTGACAGATGGTCCATTTAAAGTTTTATTAATGAGAAAAAGCCCTAGGCTTAATTAATATTTACTGTTATTTCAACACTGTGGGCCAGTTCAGAAATCATTAAAAGTGAGTGGAGATTTGAAAAAAATAACATTTTTAATGTGTTGGTTGTATTCTATTTTGCTTGTATTTGTTGGGAAAATGAATAGTAAAGTTGTTTTCCTTATAAGGCATGTAACTCTGATAAACATTAATTTAACAGAATTTGGTATGGATGATTTTTCTGCTCATTTGTCTGTTTCTGCAGGATTTTGCAAACACTATTCCTGGACATGGTGGGATAATGGACAGATTTGATTGTCAGTATTTGATGGCAACATTCGTGCATGTGTACATCACCAGCTTTATCAGGTACTTTTCTATTAACAACAGCCAACAACGTTTCATGGCATGATTCCTTTGACGTCCCATTAGTTTAACTGCTTCTGTCAATAGTCATTTATAATGTCAAGACAAATGGAATCATAGCTCTACATAGTAGAGTTCAGTCTCCATTGTTTTTAAAGCATCTGAGCAGCCTAAAGGTAGTCTACACTGTGATTGTTAGCAGGACTCGATTAAAAGACCCAATAAAAAGACTCATGTGCCTTATGCTGGGTTCAAAAATACGAGCAGTGTGCATCCCTTACCCGTGGGCGTTCGCTGACTGCCATTAAGGAGAAGACAGTTCATTCAGGGCAGCTATTGCATGTCTGTGATACATCACAAAATGTTCTAGGCATGAATATAGCAGATGATAAGCAAACCCCTGTCCTCAGCACTTCCTGCAGAGGGATGGGAGGGTCTGCAGAGAATAAGAAGTGACATTGAAGGTTTTGGGGGCCATGGCAAAAATGAAGCAGGTGAGAGCTGGTCGCTGCCTGTGTGAGGGAGGGCAAGAGGAAGTGGCCTCTCAGTGAGGGGTTGCTTGCTGTTCCTGAGTGTTAATGTTTCAGATCTGTCCTGCAAGGTCAATGTAGGTGACAAGGCAAAGCCGAGCGGAGTGACTTGGTGACTCAATGTCTGTGGTCTCCACTGGGGCCCAGAATGCCTTGGAGACTGTTTCCATCAGTCATTTAGAGACATTTACATTTAGGAATTCATAAATAGACAATTAAAAGACGTGTCCATAGCAGTGTAGGAATTTCTTTGTCAATCTCTTGGTGGCGGGAGGTCTCACAACTTCCCAGCTGTGTTCAGCTTTTCAAAGAGTGAAGACTCCTTACCCTCTGTGTGCCGTGTCTCTCCTCCCTTGCAGATTCATATTCTCCTTTCTTCATTTGTTTATACTTTTAAAGTTTCATTTGTTCTCTTTCTAGCTTTTTAAGATAAAGCCCAAGTTGTGATTTTCAGTCTTCTTAGCTAAGACTACAGACTTCCCCGTGAACACACTTTACTCTCACCCTATACACGACAGTATGACATTTTCCAGTTTTCTGCCCCACTATCTTCTTTGTCACACTGGTTATTTAGACATATATTGATTGATTGTTAAACCAATCAGGACTTTCTGTTCCTCTCCCCTTACTGATCTTTGCCTCAGTTCCAGTGTGGTTGAAAGAAGCATTTTGTGCTGTTGCTGTTAAGTTTTGAAGCTTGCGTTCTGGCCCACCACATCACCCCTCGTGGCACATGCTGTGTCCACAGAGAGACGATGGTCCCCCTTGAAAGCTTCAGATGTAATGTTGTGTCTGTAGGACTCAGTTCTTCTAAGTGCTCATCGTGGTCGTTTGTGTCACGGGTGCTTGCCCTCTGCCTGAACTGAGAGCCACAGGGACTCCTGCCTGGACTGCAGGGCATCCCTTTTCCTGCTCGGGTAGAAGCATGCATGTTTAGATCCTGTCCTTAGGAGTTGTACTTGAACACATTACCTTACACAGCAGCTTCTCTGTCGCTTCTCATTTGGTCACCATACCATGGCCATCTTTACTACTTCTCTCACAGCCGGCTCCTGCAGCATAAGGTGTAAGTCAGTCAGGACGGCTCTGGGGTTTCCTGTGGGGTTTCTCTATCTTCTTGTACTTCACATTCCCTTTTCTTCATTTTTAACAGTGTCTTTCTCTTCTGGTTATTTTATTTCTTTATGGCCCCAACTGACCTTTTTTTTTTCCATTGCATTTCCTTGTTGATAGATTTTGATATTAGTAATTTATGGTTAAATCCCCCCCCCCAAAAAAAAACACCAAACCAACACAAATCAAAAACTTTATTTTTCAGAAGATGGGAAGTTTCTAAGGCATTAGTTCACATTTGCTGTTTAAGAAGGCTCTTCCTTGCCTCATGCTGAGGCTGCCCCTGCCCTGAAAGCAGATCCTTGACCTATTTGGATCTGGCTAGCGGGAAAAGCTTGCTGACGTCACTTTCCATGTAGCAGAGCTTGTTGGGATGGTTCCTCTCTCAGCGGGCGGCTGAACGTGTTGTGCCAAGGAACATAACAAGACAAGCTGGGTCATAATTTGAGTGGACTCTGGCTGTGAGGGCTGCATGGCCACAGGGCCCTGCCAGCTTGCCTCAAGACATAGAGGTGACACACAGGATGGCTGCCCTGTGCAGCCATTGTTGTAAGCCAAAGGTTTTGAGAGTAAATTGTGCGTCTTCATCCCATTGTGGTGATAACTCCACAGAAGACATTGCTTCATTGCTGGGAGTTCTGTTTTATTTATTTCTATTTTTATTTATTTATTTATTGCTGGGAATTTTGTTTTCTGTTGCAGTTCTATTTTAAAAGTCTGTATTATAAATCATTTACTTATCTGTTCTTAGTATGAGCTACCCTCCATGGTTCACACATGGGATTTTCCAGTTAGATCTCACCATTGTTCACACACTCTTTCACAAGTCTGCACACACGCACTCCTCTGCAAGTGCACTGGGGAAGGTTTAATGACAATAATCATACACAAAGATTTTAAGATGGTAATTCTTGGTGCTTTTGTGTGTGTGTGTGTGTGTGTGTGTGTGTGTGTGTGTTTGAAACTCTGTATCCCAGACTGACCTGGAACTCACTATATAGTCCAACTCACAGTAATACTTCTGGCTCAGCATATCCAGTTCTTGAGCTTACAGTTGTGAGCTACCATGTCTGTGTGATTTTATAAAGCAGTGTTTTAGAATTGTACATATACGAATGTGTTGGGCTCTGTAGCCAGCCTGTGGGAAATTGGGTTCCCAAGACTACAACAGAATTACCAGAAGCCAGGGGGTGGGGGTGGGAATCCTGCCTGGAACTCTCCAGCTCTTGGCACTCCAGATGGCTTGCATAATGCAGGGCTGGAGCAGGGGTCTTAGAAGAGTAAGTCCAGGAGAGAGGGTTGACAGGCTGGGGCGCTGCCCAGAGGCCAAGCAGTTGCTCCTCGGACTCCTTCCTCCTGAGTGGACTGCTGTTGCAGATGAACTAGGAAGCCAGGGCTTGCTGCTTGCTTCTTGGTCTCCCTAAGACTTGTGAGGAAGGCCCTGACATCTGTGGTCCATCCCAGGTAGGGCTTTGGTGCAGGACTTTTGTGTTTTTTGTCTCTCAGGTGAGTGATCATAGTTCCCTGAGGGTATTTCTTCAACAAAGTACCTTACATGGTCTGTAAGTCTCTCTGAAGCGAAAATGTTACATTTCTTCATGCACCTCCTTTTGGTTGGTCCTGTGCCCGCTGCTCAGAAGGTTTGTTCTCTATCAAGTTGTCCTTGAAAGAGTGTCTGCAGGTCTTAGTTCTGTTTCCTCATGCAGTCTCTCCGTGCATTTCAAGGCGTAGTCGCTCTGGCCCTTTGCTCCCGTCTCGTGAGCACGGGATACTCCCAGGGTGACCTCGTGAGAGCTGTTACGGTTTTGTAAACGTGGCTGCTCAGCACTTTAAGAATGGATGTGCTCACTTAGCTTCTGTGCAAACTGTGTGAATGAATGTGCCTTCTCTGCTTTGTCACCAGGGGTCCGAATCCCAGCAAAGTGCTCCAGCAGCTGTTAGTGCTTCAGCCTGAACAGCAGTTAAATATCTACAGAACCCTGAAGATCCATCTCACCGAGAAAGGCATCCTGCAGCCCACCTTGAAGGTGTAGCGGCCCTGCGAAGCCAGACTGCTGAGGAGGAGCTCTCAGAACTGCTCTGACTGAAGTCGTGCACTCAGCCATCCTGGGCTAAAAACTTGGTAGATGTGGGTTTTGCAGATATGAATGTTTCTTTCTCTGAAATTACTGTGAATATTTAACAGACACATGATGTAAAATGAGTATGCTGCAGTCACCCACCCGGGAAAGATCCTGTACTTTTCTAAGATGTATTTTCCAATGTTAAGTTCTCTGCCCTCACTGGCCAGGTTCCATGATTTAGGAAACTTGCGTTTTTAGAGTCAAACACTATCATCACCTGAGGCCCTCTTAGGGTTGTGCCTGGCAGTGTGATCTCTTGCACAAACATTGACCTTTGCACTGGGAATGGCCCCTTTGCAGCTGGATGCTCTGTAGGCACTGTGGGAAGCGAGGTCTCGGGCTTCCTTCTCTGATGATCTCAAGCGTTTCTGAGGGGGAGTTAGATTAAAAAAGAAAGAAAAAGAGCGATTGTCCACTTTTTTCTCTTTTCTTTTTGTTTGTTTATTTATGGTACTGGGGCTAGAACCCAGGGTCTGGTACACACCAGGCAGGTGCCCCCTCCTGGTCTCTGCTCCAGCTGGAGAAGTCATCATCTGCCGAGTGCAAACAGTAGTTTCAAAACTCAGAAGCTAGAGGCTGAAACTTACACCATTATTGATTTGTTTAAAAAGAAGTTATCAGAATCCATTTCTGATGAAACTTTTCGAGAAGCACCTAACCAACTTCCCAAGAGCTTCAGAGTGGGTCCTGCATGAGGAGCCCAGCATGAGGCCCCTCTACCAAAAACACGTCCCCAGGGATGGTAGTCGGTGAGTTGGGGCAGCAGCTGAGCAGCAGCCTCGGGTGAGGCAGTGCATGGCAGCCCCGGGCCTGCCTCTCTGTACACCACACCTGAGAAGAGGACAGTTTCCCCTAAAGACCCAGCTCTGGGCCCGTCACATTGCACTTCCTGTCATGTCATAAAACCCAAGAATAAAAATCAAGCAGCGACAATAGCGATGAAGCAGAAAAGCACACGAATGCCATGCCTTGTACAGGCGGGACAGGACACTGAGCAGGCCAGCGGAGCTCCTGCGGCTGCGGCTGCGGCTGCGGATGCGGCTGCAGTGGCTGCTGCTGTGTGCTCTGCAGCCATACGGAACCAAAAGTCACGGTCACCTGCAGAGATGACCTAGTTTTCCAACTTCAGTGCCCGGAGACGGAGACACTGTAAAGGATAATTTGGTAATTAAAAGAGTAAATATTTTTGCTTAAATTAGAAATGAATTTTAGTTATGACACATTTCCTTCCCATTGTAGATGTACCTGGGTTCTGAGAACGAGCTCACAGGCATCACAAGGTCTATGCGTGTATGTGTGAGCAGGACAGATGCTGTGGTCCTCAGTCCCAAGAACCCGATCGTTGGCCCCCAGGTGACCCCAGGCTACACTCAGCCCACGTCCTCTGCATACAACCCAGTGGGGGCCTGGGAAGCCCTGCCAGATCAAGTTACCCCCTCTCAATCGGGCCACGTGGGAGCCAATGTCAGTGTCCTCTGCTTCTGTCTGTCCCACACCCTGCCCCAGACATTGACCATAAATGAGTTGCAGGAACCAAAGAAACAGAGGTAAACCTTGTGATAGGACCATGTCCCGAGAACGGGGCAGTGTGCAAAGATGCTTGAGGACAAGGTGGCTTCTCCTTAACTCCCACGTTGTCATGGTGAGGGGTTGCGAGGTGTAATTATGAGAGCATTACTTAATACAGGTATTAAAAGTCAATATTGTCTAAACAAAGGATGAAACCAGGACTATTTGGGGTTACAGTAAAAGCTTTCTCAAGTCGATTTTTTAGAGCTGGGTGTACATTATGCCACATAAAAACAAGTGAGTGCTTTGACAGTGCTCTAGTGATGAGCACTTCAGCATACTTTATAGCATGTATTTTAGAGTGGACTATGCTTTAGCAAACAATCATCGTGAGAGCCAGACGCTGATCAGCATTACATTTGCACTGGAAGAGGCTTCATCCAATGGAGCAATGTGGTGGATGAATGACAACCAGGAAGGCCCTCCACAGCGGTGACTGTCGATGGAAAATCGCCATTGGAACTGCCACTTGACTTGTTAGCCATGGGATAGTGATGTCTGAGCGGGGCATTCACCTGCGTTTTCCTTGTGGTTTCTCACAGACAGTTGCTGTCTGAGATTAAAGACTGTAACCCCCCCCCCCCTTGTCCCTGTCTTCGTTTGCACTTTGAACAGAGGTCATGGCAACACCTGGTTTGATGAATGGTCGTGACGATGTGTATATACTGTACAGGGTGAGAGTTTATGATATGTGTCAATCAGTTCTCTGAATCTTTTTACTGAAACTGGGATAGAAAAATAAAAATTCAATGGTATTTTGACTTTGTGGTGTTGTTTTCTCATCGGAGGAGGAACATTCTGTAAGCAATGGGCTTCTAGGCAGCTCCACCCTGGTCCCACAGTGTCACCTCACACACTGCTAAGGTGAGTTTCACTGTCCCCTGCAGATCAGTGACAGAGCAGGCTGGTGCTGCCGAGCTGAAAACTAGCTGCGACTTTGGCCGGGACTGCTCAGGTGGGATTACATGCTTCTCAAATGGCAGATGGCCTCTCACTTCACTTGAGCAAACCTAGAATCCCCTAGTCGTTCGTATAGCACAGTGGGTCCTTCTGGAAACAACACTGGAATTCACAGCTCTCTGCCCCACTTAGACATGAGTAGATACCTCACAAAGGGGATAGACTGAATGGAGACAGATGCAAACCCCAGGTTCATGGGAGATGGGGCACCACCTGAGTTCCTTTGAGAATCTCCTTCCCTCTTTGAACTTTTCACGGATAAAGGGTGTGTTTGGAAGCCTGTGAAACTGCTGCAAAGAAAACCGGGTCCAGTCAGTCTAAATCAATAGCAATTCTGACAGCCTGGTGTCTTCATGTGTAGATGTGGTGAGGTTTGTGGAGTCAGCACATCCTGGGTCATTTAGTCAGGCACATCTTTTGACAGTAGTGTTCTCCAAGAGGAGCAGGGAGAATTGTTGCAGTTTCCTAGCATTAAAGGGCACAGAAAATCCTCAAGACAGTCAAGCTGTCCACACAAACAGGAGAAAGGAAAGCCACTTGTCCTCCTGACTAGAGGGACAGAACTCCAAATTGCTCTTCTTCCAAGCCCACAGGGTCCACTGGGGCCTTTCTGCTGGGTCCAACTGGAGCTTAGTGGTGGGTTCAGAGGGTTTTCTGTTCATGATCATGTGACTTTTAACCTTCAGTTGGGGTCTAGAAGAATGCTAGGTTTGGTGGAATATTCTTGAAAATCTTGTAAATGTGTTTTTCATTAGTTGGATAAGGTAAGATGGACATACTTCATTGGTAAGAACATCTTTTTCCCCTAGACACTTCGTTGAGATGTAATTTACACACTAGGCTGGGCATGATAATGCATGCCTGACAGGCCAGGGAATCAAGGCCAAGGTCAGCCTCAGCTATGTGTGACTTCCAGACCTGCTTGGGTCTACATGAGAACTTGCCCCAGAACGGCAGCATTGGCAGCGGCGGCAATTTATGTATCAAAATTTACTCAAAGCAGAGATAGTTGGATACAATTTCCATGTTCTCCCCGAAAGTTCCTGGTGCCCATCTACATTACTCCCTGTTTGGATGTCAGGGTATGGTCAATCCCTGAGCTGCTGCTTACCTGGCTCCGTCTGCCTCTGTGGGCATTCTGTATTAGTGGAATCAGGGGTTGTAGTATTCTGCATCAGGCATAGTATTTTTACATGTATTGTTGGACTCTAAGATCCAAAATCAGGGGATGCACTCCCCCAGAAACATGGACGGGATTCGTTGCAATAACATGAGGTTTATTGATGATTAGATGATAACCAGTATACTGGGGTTCCCCTGTACGCAGACAAGAGAAACCCTAAGCCAAAGTTGGGAGCAGTTTTTACACAGAGTTCACGAGGGCAACCACAAAGGCTGACCTTCCCAGGTCTGGTCTCTAGGTGACTCAGATTCACACATTATTTTTATGACAATGAGTGTTTGCCCAGGTTTATTACATTATGGGCCCGGCTTCCTGGGCCCCTCTCCTGGAATGTGTCTAAGTGCTCTGGGCCCTCCTCCCCCACAGGTGGGTTCCCTCCCCTGTGGTCTGAGGAATGTCAATCAGCTTCTCCCTTCTTCCTCTGAATGTTAATACAGCAAGTGTCCTCTGACTAAGGAATGAGTTCCTTCCAGGATGTGTCCTGGGACAGTGGGATTTTTTCAATTTTAAGTTTGGACTAAGTCCTACAGTATCACTACTTTTTATGAATATTGGATTTGGACAACCCACGTACCAGTTGATAGGCACTTGCATTAATTCTACTATGGGGCTTTTATGAAAAATGTTTCTGTAAGAGTTTCTAGATATCAATGCTCAAGTGGACATAGCCTTGGCTCCCTTTCATAGATTGCTAGGGGCCAAACTGCAGGCTTGTGTGGTAAGACATGTTTGAATATTAGATGGTCATTTTCCCGGCTTCCCACAGTCCCTTCAGTCCCCGTGGAACTGCTTGGGAGCTTTGTTCTCCTGGCCTGACAAGGCCATTGTTCTCTGGAAATCAGAGCAGCTGATCTCACAGGGGATCCTTCTGAGACTGGGCAGATTAGCATCTCCTGGAAGTAGGGAGGGTTCATGGGGCAGGGCTGCCTTCTTGCTAAAGTGGCAGCCGCTTGCCCCCAACTATTGTGACAAGACAAGGCTAAGGTAAGCCAAGGCTGCTCTGTCTGAAGGCTGAGTATCTGTGGCAAATCCCAGGTCTTCTCTGTGGTATGGAGTGGGCCTCTGTGGTGCATAAAGTCAGCTGCGTGAGTAGATGCTGATGCACTACAGAACATGCATAGTGTGGTCCTCAAGAGTAGCACATCTGGGGAATGGGCTACCACGGGCTATCAAGTGGCTTTGGTATCAATTGTACTGACTTTGTTATGGGCGATAGGACAAGCAACTGAGGGCCTGCTGACTGTGCAGGAAGAATTTGCACTTGTAAGGGAGGAATTTAAAAAGAAAACTACAAAGACACTGTCCTCCGTCTGTGAGCCTCTGAACTGGCAAACAAAAACAAAAACAAAAAATCAAAATAAAAAACCCCCGGGGTTGGGGTTAGGGGAGTGAGGGAAAGAATACGAATTAGGTCTATGTTAAAATTCTGGGATCGAAACTTGGAATTTGAAGAATACTCAGAGAGAGGAAGGAGTACTGATAACAAGCTATCCCTTAGGCCCAACCTTTACTACACAGGTAAGGGAACTCCACGTTTCAGCACACGGATGGGGGTCTTCATATGGACTTGCTAGAGCTATGATAATATGGGACTCTGCCTCTGAACTGCTTGAATCAGAGAACTAAGAAACTTAACTGTTTCAAACTGTTTCAAGTATCCTTGATAAATCTCACCTTTTTGTCCGCCAGACACAAGCTGGAGTCACCTGGTCAGAGGGAACCTCTAGGCAAGTGTGTAGAGTAGAGCATTTTCTTGATTAATGACTGGCGTGGGCGGACCTAGCTCCGAGTGGGCGGTGCCATCCTTGGGCAGGTGATCCTGCATTGTGTAAGAAAGCAGACTGAGAAGATGGCTGAGCCTGAAGGGCTAGGCTCACAGCCAGAAAAGACAAGAAAGGTTGTGCCAGTAAGTAGCAGTCCCCCATGGCTCCTGCTTCAGTTCTTGCCTCAGGCTCCTACCCTGACTCCTCAGAGAAGCCCAGACTGAGGTACAAGTAACTCAGGAGCCTTTCCCTCCCCAGCTTTGCATATGGTAATGGTGTTTTATCTGGTAGAGAGCAAACTAAGAGACAGACCAGGAGAGCCAACTGGGAAGGGAAAGCCAAGGACAAGCACTTGGCGCCCTTCTGACGCCAGAGACCTTTGCCCCATTTCCCCTTTACAGATAATTTTCTAGGGAGAAGATTTCCTAGACAGAACTAGGAAGCTCCACTTTGACAGTTCTGGTTTTTGTTTTTGGGCTCCCCCTCCCCCTGGGGGTTGGGGGAAGAAGGAACAAATCCTATTCCAAATGTGTTGACCCTAGCTGAAGACTAGAATCTAGCATATCCAGTAACTTTAAAAACAAACCCCCGAGAAACCTAGGGCAAAAAGAGGCTGATGGAAGTTCCAGGCATGTGAACACTGAAGTGGGTGTTCTTCTAGCTTCCAGACTGCAAAGGCAAGAGCCTCACACAGACCACCGAGGGCTCCATTTCCCACAGTGTGGAGCATATATAGGCACAGAAAAAGATAATTCCACTCTAAAAGATCTCAAATTCCAGCCTGCTGACATAAGCTAGAGTCATCTGAGATGGAAGGAGCCTCAATTAAGAAAATGCCTCCATAAGATCAGGCTGTAGGCAAGCCTGTGAGGCATTTTTCTAATTAGTGATTGATGGGTGAGGGCCACGCCCACTGTAGGTGGGGCCATCCCTGGGCAGGCTGAGCAGGTGATGATGAACAAGGCAGTAAGCAGTGCCCTCTGTGGTCTTCGCATCAGCTCCAGGTCCCTGTACAGCATGAGTTACAGCCATGGCTTCTTTCAGTGGACTGTGATTTCATTGCAGCAATAGTAACCCTAACTAAAACAATCCCTAAACCCATAATTTCTGAAGGGTAAATATCATTTTGTCACCAAATTTGACCGAAATACCACTTTAGTACTCAGATAGCTAAGTCCACACTCTGCCCTCAAAAAACTTCCAGGTCAGCGGGGGAGCCATGTCAGAGGTTGCTATGTTTCAGTCTACTCAGGAAGGGGCTAATCTGGGCTAGAGCTAGGGGGTGAGGGGAGAACAGGAGAATAGGGAAGGCCCAAGTAGAACCAGAGGCTCCAGTACATTCTGCAGCTGCTGGGACAGCTTGTTGTGGTCACCTATTTATTTTATTTTTTTATTTTTAGCAGATACTGTCTTTAGCCTAGAAAGCCACCTGTCCCCAGGTCAGAGATGTGCTGTAATAGGAACTTGGAAACAGCACAGTGTGGATGGATGGGGTGGTGCTGGTCCATGGGAGGAAACCCTACTGGATCCCTTGCTCAGGGCAGAGCAACGAGGGGTCACACAGCTAACATGAGCCAGGAGTTTTACTCTGTGTCAAGAAAATTGAAAACATGCAATTGTATGTGAATGTTCATGACAGTTATTTACAAGACAGAAATGAACCAAGCGTCCATCATTGGTAGATGGTAAGTCAGACATGGTGTATTAGTTATACAACAGACTTCTGCTTGGTAGTGAAGAATGTAATGTGGATGACCAATCACAAATACATATAAACTTGGAGGGAGGGAGGGAGGGAGGGAATAAGAGAGAGAGAGAGGGAGAGAGAGAGAGAGAGAGAGAGAGTGAG